TTACACACTAGCATCGGCTCAACTCCTCTTCTGCCCCAGACTGGCCGCGTTCGTTCCACATTAGGAATTAGGACGTGATTGAGCACATGGGCGGTCTGTGGCCTCTGATGTCATGAGAGCATCTTCAAGCATGTGAGCGGGGCAAAAGAGCGCAGAGAAATCTGCGGTATCTCCTTTAATAAACAAAAGCAGCCTGAGCTGTCTTGCTTTTGGAGACTCTCTGACTCTTATTTGCATCCTGCTTCGCTGTGTCTGGCACAATTTGTGTGTGTGTGTGTGTGTGTGTGTGTGTGTGTGTGTGTGTGTGTGTGTGTGTGTGTGTGTGTGTGTGTGTGCACGTGCACGTGCGTGCGCTCTCCTCCCATTCGTGAGAGACACTGTAAAATGGCTTCGGTCAGAGGCCTGTTAACTCCAAAGCATCCACAATGAATCGCGCATGCGGGAAGCCCCCCTAATAGTACGCGTGATTTTGAGCCGGCCAATCAGCCGGCAGTGGGCGTGTTGGCCCTGTTTGGCTCCAGGCAGATCGCCTTGAGAAGTGGGCTGAAAAGACATCTGGTTGTGCTCGGGAAAATCCAAGGTTACCTAAATGAGAACACTCCCAACCCGGTCCAGGTGGAATGGAGCTGATGCTAGTGAGTAAGTGCCATTAGAGCCTGCTCTGGGAAAATGTTAAGGATATGATCTAACCTGGCTCATTCATTTATGTCCGCAGCTGAACTCCTCAGGTCTCCTGGGGAATACCGAGCTGAACATCGGCACAGCAATTGCCTGTTTTCTAGCGCAGGAAGGTGCTGACATCAACTATGTCAACCATAAGGGCAAGAGTCCCCTGGATCTGGTGGCAGACAGCACCATGCTGCAGCTCATCAAGAGCTTCTCTGAGAAGCACAGGTGAACTTTCACCAAAATAATCACGTTTGTAAAGCTGATGAAGAGTTTTGTTGAAGATTGATCTAAAGAAAAACTCCAAAATACATTTAACCTGTTGTGTTTTGTAACTATGCATATTATCCCAGGAAATGCCTCATCTGTTCTGAGCTGGTTCCGCTGGTTCTCTTCTGCCCCTGCCAGCACAGCGTGTCCTGTGAAGGTGAGCAAATGTTTAGGAGTCCATACAACTTCAGCTCGTCCTCCTCCAGCAGAGCAACCAGCTGATCTGATGTTTTTTCTTGCTGAAACAGAATGTGCCCGTCGCATGAAGAAATGCATCAAATGTCAGGTCACAATCACCAAGAAAATGCGACAATGTGAGAACATTTATCGCTCCATCTAAGCCATGTTGGAAACTTGCTCCAGAAAGTGTTGTACCTACAGTACCTATTTGGTGGTATTCCATCTACCGGGTATCTCCTTATAGGCCATTAGCTGCAACTTAGAACTTTATCCATCAGCCAGTAACACAGCGGAACAGGAAAACATATCATCTTGCACAATACTGCAGTTTGCATGAAATCCTCTGAACTTGCTTAAAACTGACTCGTGCTGATGACCTCGCTCCACAGACCAAACGGAGGTGGACTGCAGCCCTGGCACCGAGAACTCTGAGCAGCACAACCTGCTGGAGGAGCTGCAGTCTCGGTACCACCAGATGAAGGAGCGCTTGACCTGCCCCGTCTGCACTACCAACCACATCAAGCTGGTCTTCCAGTGCGGACACGCCACCTGCATCGACTGCAGCGCCATGCTCAGGATCTGCCCCATCTGCTGGCAGACTATCCGTGAGCGCATCCAGCTGAAATCTGAGCCGCTCCACCCTGCCAGGTCCTAACGGCCAGAAGAGGAAACAGGAAGGGAGGGGTGGGAAGGAAGGTGGGGGCAGCTCATGTTGGAGCTCCTCTCTCAACCCCTCCTGTACCTACCGCCCAGTGATCGAACCTTCGTCTCGTAGGTAGTTTTCCTTTAAAACGCTGTTTTGTTACACTTTGGTTCATTTCCCTCTCAAGCAGCGCAAACAGAAATAAATCGATCACTTTTAATTCTACTTCCTGTTGTAGAACTAAGCCTGAATGGAATTAGATGGAGCTGCATATTTGAATCCCCTGATGGGTAGAGTGGGAGAAGATTTTTTTTTAATATCTTTTGCTTCAAACTCCCACCTAAACTCAGCTTCTTGTTATCCATCTGATCATTGCAGCTTTATGTGGTTTACCCATCATCCTCGGTGGCTCTATTAAAAGAACTACGCTGGGCTGCTTCAGATTCTCCCTTTAAAAGAGGATAGATATATTTTTTGTGTTTTTATTTTTATTTTTTTACCAGTTGTGTTGTAAGATGTGGAATCAGAAGGGCAGAAAAACAACTTCTGAGTTCCACCTCTGCTATACAGGTCAAGTATTTCAGAAGAAACCCCTCCTTTGTCGCCTTGGTCTGTCCGTCGTCTTTACGTGTTGGTGTGTTTTCTTGAAGGGCTTAAGAAAATCACACAAAAAATATCTATTTTAATTTAAGTTTAATTTTATATATAAAAGATGGGAGGGGTTTTATGTCTTCATTTGATCCCAAATTTTAGGGGAGCCATTGAATGTTGGAGGGGGGTATAACTGCCTTTTTTATGTAAACAAAAAATGTTTATATAAAGTAAAAGAAAGAGCTAGAAGAACCAAGTTGTGGTTTACTTTTGAGAGCAGAACTTTTAAATCAGTGCCAAATCGCATGCGGATGTGCATGGGTATGTGCACGTCCGGACTTTCGTAAACCACTATTCCTAACCCCTCCAAGTACACACCAGGGGTCCATGATTTCAGCAGTGGGATGTAGTCAGAAAGCAAACCGTACATTTGGTTTCATTCAGGTTCTGAAGGATTTGTTCCATCACTCTAAGAACTAAAACGGATAATTACTTAAATATTTTGGTGCAACACTTTTACACTCAAAAATAATAAGTAAATGCAAAAACAATCACATCTCTTAAATACACCTTATTAATAGATTAAATCTAACTAAAATGGAAAAAGTTGTTATGAACAATTAAAGATGTTACAGTAACATTCAAAACTGAGTAAATACAATTGAAAATGTATGTTAAAACAACAGTAACCCAGTTGTGGGTAGTCAGGGCCAGCAAAGCCTTCTCTGCTGGCCTAAACGTACTCAAAAACGTAAATGTATTTTTTTTCCTTTGGTAAATATTTTTAAATAAAAAAAATGTTCACTGGTCTATTTTCTGTATATCCTATTATACCCACTTGGCTGCTCTGCTTCCAGTGTTAAAATACCAAGACTGGGTGTTATCCAATCAGATTTAAGCTAGCTTGTGTTTTCAGGCAGATTAAGTCTGCCCTAGGCCTTCAGAATCAATCGAGAAGCCCAATGTCCGCTGTAAGTGAACAGAGACGATCTAGTTGCGATAGCCAATCAGCTCACGAGTCAGCGTGGCTCAGGCCAGCTAGCTGGCCTCACGCAAAAGTTGACATGAACGCGTCCTGTGATTGGATAAGCAGTAGTTAGAACTTTTCTAGCAGCATGAAGCAAAATATCAAAACTAAACACAGAGATTTGTACCTATAGGCAGCTATCGGTGTATTTTTGAACACATGATGCCTGAAAGAGGAGAAGGGACAGACTTGGTTGCAGATTAACTTGCCACACCATTTTCCAGACAGACCTTTCAAGAAAAAATGGATATTGTGAGAACAGGTCGTCTGACTCCAATGCTAGCTGGCTTGTCCCAGCAGGGGAAAGGATTTGTTCGTCATTTTCAGGCAAGCAACTATGAACGGTACCCATGGCTAACAGCTTCAGAGAACCGCTGCAGGTTATTCTGCTGGGAATGCCTGTTGCTCGCATCAGATGGATTTGGTAGCATTAAAGCGCGCTAAAACGTACGCCAGAAACACGACCGGGCAAACACGTCTTTCAGCATTACCCTCCATGTCCATAGAAAAGGATCCACTCATGGACCTGAAGTGCACAGATAAACTGTACAGAGCCATTGAGGTTTTCCTGAGGAAAGAAAGAAGGATGGATTTTATTTTCAAATGAGCAGGAGAGGAGGAGATCCATGCTGGACATTTATGTTGGTGAGTAGAAACATTTTATTAGTATTTTTTAATGTTTTGTCATTTCATTTTGTTAATAATAAATGGTAACGAAATAAAATGGGTAAATGAAATAATTCTATGTGTTCTGTTTCTATGCAATTTATATTGTGTATAACGTGGTGTGTTCAGCTGCGCCAACATGTTCAGTTGTTTCGCGGTGCAATTTTCTCAAAACAAATGCAAATAATGTGTTTGCTTTACTTATTTATTTTACTGTCTCATCTCTTAAACCCATCTTTAATTTTTGAGATTTTACAGTATCCGTGGTCTTAGTTTCCTACTCTCAATTGGGAATGCGAGTTTGATTTTAAAGGCTCCGGAAATGACGTCGTACCCAGACACTGGTGTGTGTGTGTGTGTGTGTGTGTGTGTGTGTGTGTGTGTGTGTGTGTGTGTGTGTGTGTGTGTGTGTGTGTGTGTGTGTGTGTGTGTGTGTGTGTGTGTGTGTGTGTGTGAGAGACAGAGGTTTCTCCAGCTGTGATGTCCTATTGATGGTATTTTAAGGTGTGTTAATTTAGATTGGACTGAATAGGAAATCACTGAAGGCCCAGGGGTGGAATGCACCGCCCGCCACTGCAGTAACCAAAAGTTCAAACTACATAAAATATTAATTAGGAAATGCTGAAATGCTCGGCACATATAACCTACACCATTACAATGACTTGTTTTTAAATAATGGTTCAATTTACTTAATATTTTAAAGTTAACTTAAGCAAAAACATTAATTAGAATTAAGTGTTACATACATACATTATATATATATATATATATATATATATATATATATATATATATATATATATATATATATATATATATATACACACACACACACACACACACACACATACATACATATATACATACACACACACACACAGGAAAAAAGAACCACTTCAGTTCAACATTGTTCACAATGATTTATTTTAATCAGCCTTTTTGTTAATCACACATTTAGCAGATTCCTTCTCTGAACACAGTGAGCTGAAATCTTTTCTACATTCAGTGGATAAAACTTGGATAAAATTTCAGTCACAACAGTCTTATATAATAAAATTGCATCCAAATTGTCATGCTTGATAAAACTCTGTAAAACTGGCATATTGATGCCAACAACAAGAAAAATGTACCTGCCATACAAAGAATAAAAGTGGCTCAAGTGAATGCAGTGCTTTACCTTTTCAGAAAAGGTCAAATGACAAAAATAAAATTAAGATCCCAAAAACATATAAATCCTGAAAAAAATTAAACATTTGCACTGGCAGTTTTTGAACATCTTATTTTGATTCCAAAAAATTGGGAAGATTATAACTAAAGAGTGACCAAAAGAACATTCATAATTTAAATAAAAAGGTTTCAAAAAGGATTGCGCTAAAAAACAAATTAAAAAAAACATACAGAAGATACTCTTCCATTTACACCTTAATGTGAATCTGGAAAGTTAATACAAAACACAGTTTATGGTACAAACATTATTTATAAACAGGAATGTCAACACTATGTAATGCCGCAACTGAACCTTTTGATGAGCATTACATGTCACTTAACAAGTCTAACACTTTAAGAACAGCCCTGTGAAATTTTGTCTACAATGAACAGAGGTCATTTTTCAGTCTTTGAACCTTGACAGAAAGGTTTCCTGTATCCAGCTCCATGAACACTTTTTGAAATGCTTCAAATGTGCATTTGAGATTCTTGGGATATTTCAGATCCAGAGCATAGCACAGTCCCAAAAGATAGCAACACGCTTTGCTTGGATTCCCAAGTTTGCCCAGAACAGTAACGCCTTCAATAACAATACCCACATCAGTAGGTTCACCTGACCTGTCTTGATTCTGCAGCAGGTAAATCTTCATCACCTCCTCAGCCAAAGCCTCTTCAACAAAGACAGCATCAGCACTGTCCTTTAAAAAGAGAAACAACTGTTTTAAGCTCACATATTTCCAAACATTAAAACAAAGTTTCATTTGTATGACATCACTGGTATTCATAATATGTGGGCACTGTGCTCCAAAATCTTTGAGCAAATGCTATTCTTTTGTATGCTTTGAAGTGTTTTTTCTCTCTTTAGAACATTATCTTAAAACTTTTCTATGATCTCACAAGCTAAAACTACTAATATTCCTAAAACAGATTTATTGCACCAACCTCAAAGGTTTTGATTAAGGCACTTGGATCCTCTCCCAGATGGTCAATGAGACATCTGATGATGACTTCTCGTTTTTTCTCGATGGAATTTCCACTCTGTAAAACAGGAAGTCTCAACTGAGGCAAAATTTGCACATTTAAAACATGACTTACCATTTCTAGCTTAAACATAACAATTTTTTTCTGTTGTTGACCTGTTTTCACACCCACCATCAAGGTAAGAACACCTGTGGAGCTAAAATATTGAACAGAAACCTAAGAAAAGCCGTTTTTAGTGGAGGGCCTCTTCAGTGCTGTGTTGAAATGTTTTTTGTGGTTAGAAAATGCAATCTTCCTTACCTGAAGCAGAAGGTTTAACTGTGCCCTGTGGCGTTGTCCAGCAGCACCTTTCTTGGCTTGAAACAAGGACAGGAGTTTGGATGAATACAAGTCCAACAATGACATGAACTTTGGTTCAAGGTTCAGGGTCGTGATCCTGTGAAACTGCACTGACCTGGATGGGAGAGGACAAAAAACAAAGGACAAAAAATCTGAAGGCCAAAATTCAATCCAAAAAAAATCTTTAACTGGAACTACCATTTTTTGCAACCTGGACCTTATTTTCTAACATGCAAAAGATTAATTTACTCATCCAGACATAAATCTATATAAGTAGAGTTGTTCCGTATGCAGACTAAAGCCTTAACATAAAGTATTATCTTCCACTAAGCTTCTAAATTTTATGTTATGAATTGCTTGCATTATTTCCCTGTGAGATTGTATAATCTTGGAGGGAAGAGGCGGAGCCAGATTGCCCTCTGGCTTCTTCCAGCGAGTACCTCTCTTAGCGGGAACGCCTCCTCAGCATCAGCCTTGAAAAAGGCTGACCTCCACTGCTTTTCCTCTGGCGGGAGGAGCTAACAGGAGCGGCAATAGGATTAAGGTGTGAGGGCGAGGTCCGCATGGTGAGGACCGAGGCAGCCCACGCAGATGGCATGTCGGTCATACGACATGATGGAGCCGGTCTGGCAGGATGGTCACAGACGGATGGTCTCCCTGGACATCTTCTGGCTGGCTGAAGAAAAACAGTAGAGCCGATTTCCTGCTCTCACCGTAACTTATACTAGACCAGGGTGAGGCCCACACAGCAGGTGGGCGTGGACTAAATTACTTAAGTGATGCGCGCACAAGGAGAATACCCACTTAAAGGGCTGCACCTGGACTCATAGAATCTGGGGTTACAATACGTAACCAACGTTTTAAAATATTAAATTACTCTTCACTCTTCAGTAAAATCTAGTCTGCCGTTTTGTGCTCCAGTTAGATAAGTGAGATAAAGGCACTTTGCAATCAGCCCAGTCATTCTTCAGTCAGGTTACATTAGCTTAGCCTAAAACAATTTAAGTGAATGGAAATTACTAGCATTTATTGTTCCCTAGGCTTGGGAATGGTTTCAATTAGAACCATTCTGGTTTTGATTCAGATTCCTCATTTTGATTCAAATTCCTAGCGATTCTACTGTCTTATGACAAATTAAAGCAACCTGGCTGCTGCAAGACCATCAAAATCACTAGGATGGTAGCAACATGTTTTTCCTCACTTATCTTATGATGGGGGATGTAACAGACCAAATTTTATTTACAAGTGATTTATTTACAAGTGGATATCTCTTTAAATGTTCACTTACTTGGGAGACGTCAAACAACGCCGGCCATCTGTCCTTGATGTTGCTGACACTCAGCTGTTGGCTGATAATATCATGTCTTCTATCTGCAAAGGTTTTGCACATTAAATCCTTGATGGCTGTGCTGTTTTTCTTCTTACACTCATCAATCAGTTGTTGTCGCTCCAGCTCTTGCTGTTCTTTACCATCTTGTCCTGGATAGTGTGGCAGAAACAGCACTTCTCCTTTCTGCACCTTCTTTATGTTCTTCGCTGGAGCCTTGTCATCAGGGTGCTTGTTCTTCAGTGAGTTGCAAGTAACCTCTGGAACTCCAAGACTTCGTAACTTTGACCTGTAATTTCCCATCTTGTATTTAAGACTACATCCATCCCATCCAGCCATTACGACTGCCTGGCTCTGTCAGACATGGGTGCTTTTTGACCAGAGCCTCTGCCACTTCTCCAATCTGAAGGCCAGTAGGGTAGGCTGTGTAGCTGTACATATCATCAGCTAATTTTTCCATTATATCTGAATTGACTGAAGTATTTTTCAGCACAGTGCCATTTTGAACAAAGACTTCATTGGCATTTTTCAGTACAGTCTCTGTTGCCACAGAGAAAAGTGGAATGACAATTTAATCTGGCCATTGAGTCTTCAGAGGACTTTGAAGAGGGGAGAGTATGACAGTGTTGTCTGAAGACAGAGATGATCCATCTGTTTGGTCCTTTGTGGTTTTATAGGTTGAAGAGCTTGAACTTTCATTCAGTGATCTTACATCTGAGGGATTTTCACACTGAGGAATCAATGTAAGCACTACTGATAGAATCACCACAGCTTTGACTGTACCCCTATCTTTGATTTGGTTGGGAGAATGAAGTGTAAAGAAATCTCCGAATGAGTCATCATAATAGTGCAATGTGAAATCCTCAACTAGCCCAAATGTCTCTCTCACTGTCTCATGCAACTCCTCAACAGTCCTGGGTATTCCTGAAGAGAGCACAAGCTTCTCACTCTGTTGTCCAAAAATTACTTTCAAGGCAAAGGAGTCCATCTGCAGAATAAAAACCGCAAGAAAAAATAAAAAGAAAGGGGGTATCTGAGTCTTTCCCCTTACACTAACAAACAATGTGACGTTTTATTGACACCATTTGTTTGCCTTCAACACAATATGTTGTTAAGGGGTAAGTGTCACCAAGTACTCTGGGATGTATTAAGGTCATTTTCCCAGAAGGATCCAGAATAAATGCCCTAAAATGTTCATCATACCAGCTGTTGAGCAACTTCACAATGAAAAGAAATTCATTGCTTAAGACAACAATTTTTAAAATCTCCACAAAGTCAGGTAAGCCACAAGTAGATCCATGAGGCAAAACCATTCCTGAGGCATATTTAGTTCCATGATGAGTCAGAGAGTTGGTCAAATTCACATTGGCTTGTGATGGATAAACTTCCTTGAGACACTGCTGTATTTCTACATCAAGCAGTTCCAATGGAAGAGATGATACTTTGGTGACACACACTGATGGCTGTTGTGTGGTGGGGTGAGTACTCCTCATCTCTATAACATCTTTGAGCTCTTCATTTCAGGAGAGGGAGCTCACCAGCTGCAGGGTATTAGCAATCAGCGGCAGCTGCAGCTTCTCAGGTCATCCGCAGCAGAGCTCTATTTAAGAGGAGAGGGAACCACTACACAGCGCTGGATGATTAACTGCTCATGGTAGTATTTTGGATTACTCACCTGGAAAGAACCATACCTTCCTGGACTTCACGGTTCGCCTCTCCTCTTATTCCTCTGCCACCCTGCCTGGCTCCCTCTCCTGGACTCACCCCGTCACTCCACCTGCCCTCCTCGGCCTCCTCCATCTGCAGAACTTGGACTCTCTCTGGCTCCAACTACTCTGGGTTTATTCCAGGGACACCTTTTGTTAGATTCCTTAAATAAATCATTGTTTTGAACTTTTCCCCCCGTCTTGTGATGATTCTTCATGTCGTGGGTTAAAACACATTCCCAGGAACATGACAATGGCTTCAATGCATTACCATCTGAATAGTATGCCATCATCATCTGGTGCTTTGAGGCAAGTGACAATAGTACATTTCTGAAGCTGTTTGTGTGTTTAACAACCTTCTTAAAGAAACTATGTTTAGCCTGAAAGCGCATAGTCCAGAGGCCTACTAATGGACCAAATCCTCTGATCAAGTCAGGATAATGCTCCAAAAAATGGTGTTTTGGAGTTAGATTTGCTCTGGGAAAACCTCCAAAAGCCTGTTGCGATGTTCAGCTATAAGTGTGTCCAAGTAGCAAATACTTTCCTCTCTGTGATTAGGGGACACAGCAAGTTCAGTTATATCTTTTAGAGTCATAAGAACTTGCCATGCTTCATCATTTTTGGGAATCTTTTCCCCAATAATAAAAGGTAATAGTCTCAATAACGTCCAATTTTCATGTGCGTCACCAATGCTTTTGTGAGTAGAAAAATTTAGGGGGATGATTTGGGGACGATCTGTTTTATCGGTCCATTTGTAAGGAAATTCTGTTATGAACTTATTGAGTTCAGTTAAGGAAAAGTAACGTTTATGGACAAACACATGAAGGCATAATGCTAATTGTAGTGGAATTATGCCTTCAAAAAGGTCGTGCAAAAGATCTGGAGGATACCCTGTGACAAAATGGAAATATTTCAATTTCCCTGTTAATGGACAACCTTTCTTCACACCACAACAATGAACAGAGCAGGAATTTTCCTTTATGGTTTGGACATGTAGATCATAGTTCTCTTTTGTTCTTGGTGGAAAAGCTCCTGAACGAACTTCTTTTTGCTGAAAGTCCGAATGGTCTCCAAGGCAAAATCTACAGATGTAATGTCCAGAAAAGCTTTCCACGAGTCCACTAAGAGAATGAGCGCCAAGATTGTCAGCACAAACACAAAAAACAGTGCCCCTGGTATATCTACCAAGCTGTGAACAAAAAATCCCATTTCTCTCTAATGTTATGAGATCCTTTAAAAGTGGCTCGAGAACAGTTTCATAGCTAAAAGTTTTAACATCACTTGCCTTACACAGGAGAGCCAATTGAATTGATGTTAGCTGTGATCTCAGTTCAGCTGGTATATCAGCAAGTACCCAGTACACAGCTGTGACTTTGTGTTTTTTTCTTGAAGTCCGAAGTGGATTACAAATTTCAAAGTCATCCACATAGAGAACAAGGGAAATACTTAAGTCCTCAATAGCACAAAGTTGGTTTTGCTTGAAATATTGTCCATCGTGGAAAGATGATAACTGTGAAGTGTTCAAATGTCTAGTTAATATCCTGTTAACATCTTTACTCAGTAACAGCTGCAAGGACTGAAGAATAGGCACATACTGGAAAGTGGAATTCTTTTCTGGATCCAAACAGTATTCTACTGGTTCAATAACACAGAAGTTTACCTTGAAATATTTCTGTCTCTTATATCTTGAAGCAAAGGGACCATCAGGACTAAGGGCTGCACATAAAGGACTACAGTGACATATTTTTTCAGCCAATTCACTGACAAAAGACTGATCAATATTACAGTTATTCTTAATAAGAATATCACTTATTGACTTTGGAATATACTGAAGTGATAATGTGCAGATATAATTGAGCCGTTCCACCAAGTCATCCACACATTTACCAGAAACATTATAGATGCTTTCCAGTTTTAACAAAAGCACACCAATATTTTTCAAAATTTCATTTGTTGTTTCCCTTTCACAATCAAGTTCAATGGTGACATCCAAGTCCTCCTGATCTTCTAAATCCAGTGCTGTAAGAAGATTTCATTAGATGTACTGACAGTTTGCTTTGAAATCAAGTTAGTTTAAAAGTGCTTCCATGAACAAAATCTGTGCTTTCGACTTCTGTGAGTCGGGTAAGTCCCACAAATGTTTGTCTTAAACTCACAACCATCAAAAACACACTCTATGGTTTCATGGCTTTTCAAATGGGAATTTAGATGTTGAAAATAGTCTTTTGTGTTGGGGTAAAAAGAGTCACAGAGTTTACATCTAATAGTTGGAAGGACCTCACACTCTTCCATTTCATGCTAACCATAGGCGTCATTTTAACCGGGGACGCCGGGGACATGTCCCCGGCAAAATTTGTGATTGGCAGCTGTGTCCCCCCCCCACTTTCAAAAAAGCCTGCTGATGAGGATTTTTGTTTTACCAGCTCAGATCTTATACCAGGGGTCGGCAACCTGTTCCCATCAAAGAGCCATTATTACCCATTTCCCACAGTAAAGAAAACACCGCAGTAGCCGCAGCGTTGTGGGCGGGGCCTACCCTCAGACAGCAGAGAGCTGCTCACAACCAGGTGACAGCAGCAGGTACCGGTCGCTCGCATGGGCGTCGCACCCGTGGGGGATTCAACACCCACACTTTTCCAGCTGTTTTGCTCACCTCCACACCAGTCTGGTTTCTTTACGTCGCACTCACTCTGTTTGCCTCATCTCCTTCTTCACCTCCCGCTTCTGACAGCCGATGTCGGGTTTCCAGGAGAGCAGGAGAGAGAGGGACGGAAGAGCTCGACTGAATTCATAATTTTACATCTTGACATTAGCTGTACAAAGTCTGAGTTTGATAACGTGAAGAACAACAATTTGCAGAGGTTTATAACAGGCGCGGTGCCAGGTTTTCATTTTTGGGTGGGCCACGGTAATTTTGGATGGACCTTAATAAGCAGTGACTTAAGTGAAGCAGGCAGGTCGCGCTAGAAAATTTCGTTTAAAAATACGTCATAAATGTGTTCCCCCGTCATTTTTATTTCTAAAATATGAAGTAAAAACTCCCAATTTAATTTTCATTCATTTGTCATTAATATGTAGTCTACACCCGTGCGTTAAGTGGACCATCTTCCAGTAAACGCAAAGCAGCCCATCTCTCCAAATGCGTAAAATGTGCACCACAGCCGTTAGGCGCGCCGCGCGCACCGTCAGCTACATCAGTCCAGACAAGAGCAGACTAACTAGAATAGAGGATCATTCTGTCTGGATGTGGATTGAGATTAGATTTTACAGCAGCCTGATCATCATTTAAATACGTAAACCATCACCTGTCTTCTAGTCCATGCTATCAGCAATATTTTAATTGGTGTGTGTGTGTGTGTGTGTGTGTGTGTGTTTTCCACTTCCAACACTGGTCTAACCAACCAGACCAGCATGTCCAGTAACATATTAATGTTACAATTAAACAGTTTCACTTCATGTAGGCTAGGAACATTTCACCTGCCGTGGCCCGACCGCTTCTGCTCCACATAAACTTTGTGCGTGATCAAATGTCTCTACAGGTGCTGTTGTAGCCAAAAAGGTCAAGAGGTCATCTACAACATATATTGAGTTGAATTATGAGTCCTTAGGTTAAAAGCTTGCTGAGAAAGCTGTGTTCTGTGTACGTGAGGATTAACATGTCCAGCTTGTGTAAACCAGCTCCAGTGGACCTTGAGCCCTTGAGCCCTCAGAATCATGTCGGGATAACAGGGCTGGTCGCCCTCTGGGCTGGAGGGTGCGTTGACCATATTGGGAAGTGTAAAACATCACCCCATCCTCTCTCAAAGGACTGTGGGAGTAGCAGTATAAAATAAGCCTGCATCTTCGTGGCAGGAGGGCTTTTGCTAAAGATCCAGCCGGAGGCTCACTCAGTTCCAGGCTGGGCGCTGTCCCCAAGTTACTGGTGATGTATTGATTGTGTAAATAAATGCCCCTCGCTGTGTTTGGACACGCTGTCAGTCTCTTGTGTTTTGATAAGGCAAAAGAACCACATTTGGCGACCACGAAGCGGGAGTAGAGGCGTGCTCTTCAGATCGGTTCACGGTCCACCGAATTTGACTCCTGGGCCCTGATAGGTAGGAACAATTTCTGTTCAATTTTGGAGTCATTCCGTGGTTTGTGAACTGGTCTGTGAAAAATACATGCCCTGCTCATAATTTAGAAGTTATAACAGCAAGAGAAGGCATTTGTCCAGAGCAGCGGTGAAAAATATTCACACGTGTGAAGTCAGCTGTGTCATTTTGATGACGGACAAATTTTAAGTGACAAATTAAAGGTGGGACAGCGAGAATTGGAATATATTTTTGACAGCTGACAAAAGTCCAGGGAGGACAAGGAAAAAGGTCGACATTGAGATCCAGGTGGGTGTCTCGGTGAAGCCGGACAACGACTGGGATCTGAGTAAAAGCGCTGAAGTTGTGACAGAGATAAGCTTGCCAGTAATTCGGTCAATTTCCCCGGGGATTGGTAAATTTAATAAGAGTTTTTTGGCAAAGCATGTAAAGAAACAGGGTCCGTGAGCTCGGGACGGCCTGTACGTTGTAGTTTGCAGCAAAATTGCTGTAGAAACAGTTTCCGGGAGCTCGGGATTCTGTAGTTCTGTAGTTCTGTAGTTGACGTGTGAGTGTGAAGGCCTGATGCGGTACCAGAAAAATAAATAAATAAGATAAATAAGAGCTTTAAAAGTTGCAACTCAAATATGTAAACTTCACTGCAGTGCTAAATTTTAATGTTTGAAGTTACGCAAAATTCAAACTCTGCAATCCTGTTCTGATCAGTCTGAACAGAATACCAAAAGTTAATAAATAAAAGGTTTTTATAGTAATATATATATATATATATATATATATATATATATATATATATATATATATATATATATATATATATATATATATATATATATATATATATATATACAAGCGTAAGAATCATTTGTGTGCAGGGCAGCATGTGAGTGACCCAGATTTGGGGGGTGAAGTAGCCTGGAGATTAAAGGGGGAAAAAAACAAGAAATACAAGGAAAGTTGTAAATGACAGCTTTATTTTAGAAATATATAGAAATATATAGATATACAGTTATTGAAAGTCGGACCGCTGCTAAACAGTAAAGTCGAAACAGATCTGTAGAAAATAAATATATAAACTGTTTCTGAGCTCTCTCAAAAAAAAATTGCAATTTGGCTTGCTGTAGTGGTTGCATAGGACCTGCTTAAAAGCATAGTGAGCATTAAATTCTGAAAATTACCAGTGCAGTGTTATACAAATTCTGTGGTTAAAAAACATACACGAATAAAAGCGGTTAATGGAGCTCCTTCCGATTTGGTGTAAAGTAGGAAAAGTAAGTGCCAATTTGGGTCAGTTAAATTTAAATTAGGAGAAAACATAATGATAATAGTCCAGCTGGAAATAAGATACTAAGAAAAATAAGGTAAACAGACGTTTATATATATATAAAGAGAATAAATAAGTGACGGACTGACTTACTTTTGTTTGAAAGACTGTGACAAACAGAAAAAATGTTGTTTGTACCGTTGTGAATGTGAGTGTTTTTTTTTTTGCATGTGAAGTGAATGCTGCTATAGCTGGATATTCTGTTGAATGACGCAGTGTTTAATAGAGACAGCTGATGGGAAAAAACATGGTGTGGCCCAGGCTTTCCCCAACTGAAAAACAATAGAAAAATAATTTATTGTTAGTGCGATGACAAGAAAATCGTTTAAAATATAAAAGTTGCATGGTTGTGGTCATACAAAGGAGGTATTTTATCTGCTTTTGAGCCGTGAGGGCTGAAACTGGACTTTGGACTCTATCATTTACCTATGTTTGCTTTTCTGTAAATGGAGTCTGTCACTCTCTCTTTTCTCCTGCCTGCATACACACACATGGTGAGACCAAGGCTGGCTTGCTTTTCTGTGAAGTGTAACATGCAGTTTTAAGCAATTTGTGACTTTAGAAAAGATAACTTCTGGTGTTTTGGGCATACCTTCTTAGTCCATGGATGGCCTCCGTGTGAGGGTCTTTTCTCCTGGACGGTCGAGAGCGGAATGAGGCTGAAGGTTCAACCTGAGGGCCTGACTCCGCCCACTTTTACACACTAGAATCCTGTAGTCTAAAAATAGCACAGGGTGCTGCAGAACAGCAGCTCTGAAGTTCTCAGGATCGTCTTTATGAAAACCATAAAATTAACAAATAATCAGTCAGGAAAATAAAATATTTGTGCCAGATTGTTTAGTTACACCCACTTATAATTATTTTGCATAGGTGTTGTAAAACTATTCCTGTAAATCTTGCTATAGAAATAAAATCCAATAATTGTCTTGCTTGAACTTTAAGAATCATTAACATTAGTGGCTGGATTTTGAGACGCTGAATAATGAGAAAGAGATAAACTATTATTTCCTGTAACCTGGCTAGAACCTGTACCAGGCTGTTTTGAATTAAAAAATGGTAGTTATTTTCCCAAAATAAGATAGATAAATAAAAAATGAAAGGAGGGATCTTGCATTTTGAGTTAGACTGTGCCTAATGATTAAAACCTGTTTGGAACAGATTTTAAGGACAATTGTGTATAGAAAGTAGTCTAGATTTACCTTTGAGTCAGTAAAGTCGACTAATTATTAATTCAATTCAATTCAAGTTTATTTATATAGTGCCAAATTACGACAAGAGTCGTCTCAAGGCACTTCACAAAATAAACATTCCAATTCACAGTTCATTAAGCCAATCAGAAATAATGTTTCCTATATAAGGAACCCAGCAAATTGCATCAAGTCACTGACTAGTGTCAGTGACTATACAGCAATCCTCATACTAAGCAAGCATGCAGCGACAGTGGAGAGGAAAACTCCCTTTTAACAGGAAGAAACCGCCAGAGAATCCTGGCTCAGTATAAGCAGCAATCCTCCACGACTCACTGGGGATCGAGAAGACAGAGCAGACACACACACACACACACACACACACACACACACACACACACACACACACACACACACACACACACACACACACACACACACACACACACACACAGACAGACAAGTAATGTGTCTATAGTTATATTGTGATGTCTTAGTAAATATTGTATTTGGTGAAAGATAAACTTTATTGTATTTATTCTAGTGGATCTATAATTAAACGGATAAACTAGTATTAGCACATCAAAAGTCAATGAAAACAAAACGTTATTATCAGGAGAGAGAGAATGTTTAAGTGGTTAGCAGCAGTGTGCTAGTCGATGGCCCCCTCCATGAGGCCACCACAGCTCAGCAGAAGTCTTTGTAGCTTCTTCTGGGGAGAAAAACACTTACAGAGAAAATAAAGTTAACAGCTGAAATTGGACAAAATAGTACAGTTAAAGAGCAGACTGTAGAATAAAGCAGCAGAGTGTGAAAAGTGGTCAGTATGTCCTCCAGCAGTCTAAGCCTACGGCAGCATAACTACAGAGATAACTGGATAATTAGAAGCCATCGTTGATTTGTACAAGAGAAAGTTCTGTCATTTCAACCCAATCAACATATTTAAGGAAGACGTTTGCTGTGCACTGTAGCGGCAGGAATTTTACTGGGTTGGCCCGTCACAGACGGAAACCAGCTGCAAATGAAAGTCTCCTGGATCTGGCTCTACACAAACGGAGCAGAAAGTCCCCACCACAAGCTGAATTATAACACCGAAATGGGGCAGCACTACAAGATGAACACTGTGGGACAGGCGCTTGTTTGCCCGGCTGCAAGATGGGACGGAGACAAAGGGGAGGAGCACGTGTGCCAACATGTGAACTTTAATCAATGACTGGGGTCATACTGAACTTACAAACAGATGCTCAAAGAGACTGTTTCCCCATAGGGTCCACCCAGTGGAAGTGTGTTTGCTGCAGTTAGGTAATGGAAAGGCTTTTTGGCAACAATCAGTTGATTTGGTGAAATGTCAGAACTGTGAAAAATTTACTAAACTACTGCAGAACATAGTTAACTGAGAAAGTTAGCCTTAAAAAAAATAGGATTAGTAACCTGGTCCAACTCACCATTGGATGTCAATATAATCTTTATTGTAAGTATGATTTAAGATTTGGAAAACCGCAAGTGTCAAGTTGCTCTATAGCCTATCCTAGCTTTTTATCATAGCTTATATGATTAACAAAATTTAAATGAAATTGGGGTAAAGTAAATAACTCAGTGCACAACAATTTCTCGGTATTCATCAGGTTTCTTAGTTGACTGAATGACTTTTCTTATTTCTACAGGTCTTAGGGTACTCAGCTGCAGCGGACAGGAGAACAACAGTGTTGTTTCAGCTCCTTTGAGTTTCCCAACAGATCTAACCAAACCTGATCCTATATTTTTCTATCAGCCGTAAATTCTAACGTAGAAAATAATGTTACAAAATATTGAATAATTGTACCTCTCATTCGATAAAAATTATGTCCACATTTTTCATCTTGTGAAATCTTTAACATAACATTTTTAATTGGCCTTTTGCGGGAGTGACGTTGCGAGAACATTTGGATTTGGCTACAGCCAAAATTGGCCAAAACTTAAATTTTGGATTTGACTTAAATTAGATGTCACTGAAGGTAAACAAAGCTATATTCGTGCTGCATGGGAATTGGAGGAAAATAGATGTGGATGTGTCGGCGAGAAGAAAGCAAAAATAAAAAATAAATATCAAACAATATCACAGTAAAAAGAGTGTAGGGAAAATTATTAAAAGAAACTAAACTGGGAGAAATAATCCTTTTTTTAGGGATTAATGCATGGCCATGAGCTCTGCTGGAAACACCCATAAAATCGGAAACACCCATAAAATCGCTTTACATTCATCAGGTACATTACAAAAGAGCCTCAACAATGGTTAGTCATGCTGGATAATGAGAACATAACAATAATCTGTCTCCCTAGTTTGGTTGGGTAAAAGGGAAAAAGGTGTTTAGATGTCTGATGTTTTATAGGAACCAGTGTATCACAAGAGGTAGGACGACAATTGGCTAAAGGAAAAAGTCTTTAAGTTTATCATCACAGGATGGCATGGTAAATAAATAAATAAATACACAAATAAATAAACAAACAAACAAATAAATAAATAAATAAAAATAAGAGAGAAAAAGGAAAATTAATTAAAGGAAACGTAATAGTAAAAAAAACGTTAAATTGTTCTGAATCTGTCATGGAATCAGTGCCATTGGAAAAAGGAGTAGGTAAAAAGAGGATAGGGGAGTATCTCTTAGCACAAATCATGTTATTGATTTAGCAATGCAGCTTAATTTCAGATGCTTTAAGGATGATGCTAATTTGTGTTATAGATGGAGAAGTAGAACAGAAACACACATCTAAACGAGTAGATAAGGGAAATTACTGACAATACTAGGGTTTTAGGATGTATGGCTTTAAGTAATTTGTGGTTTGACCAGCAAATATATACAAACAAACCTGTAACTGCAGTTTCGTTATTTATGAATTAACCTCAAGTAGTGAATTAATTCTTAGGTTTTCTTGTGCTAGTGAGGTTCTTAAAGGAAAAAGGAAAGAAAATAAGAAAGAAGGTTCATAATTGGGGTGAATAGTAAGGGACATTGGAAAACCTGAAACTATTTTGTTGAATTGATAGTAAAGTGGTTGTCCTAATTTTTAATTGGAGAGATCACACCGCAACATGAGTTCAGAACAGTAGTTATGGGAAGTTTTGTTGGATTAATTTGATCACACGCTTTAGGTCTTATTTTTTCTTTCCACTGGTTTAGTGTTCGGTTCATTTAAACCAAGCGGAGACACAGACTTGAGAGAATAAGTAGTTTAGTTGTGCGTGTCCCACTCTTGCAGTTTTGAGCATTTTCCAGAAATAATCAAGATGTTTAAGAAGTGGAAGGAAGCTCTCGATGTAATTACTAACATGCATGCCTACTTAAATGAGGAATTTCACACTTTCGCTTCAGTCTGGCATTTGCTTGGTGTGTGAGGGCACAGAGACGTGTATGGACCGTGTGTTTAACTGTGTTTGTTTTGTTTGTTTGTTCTTTTATTTATATGGGCGTGGCCGAGCCTTGAGAAACATCAACAAAGCCATTGGACTATTCTGAGTAAATTAACCAATTCAAATTCAAATTCAGGATCCTGAAACAATTCGGTTATAATCTCTAATTGATGAAGACCATCTTAAGAATTCATTGTACAAGGCATCATCTCCAGTGTTACTGGAACTGTTTTGAAACCCATGCATGGTTGTATATTTTAGTTAAATCATTTATACTCATTGAATTATTGTTTTTTGCTTTATGTTTTAATCTCTTTGCAATTTTTCTCTGTGACACAGGTGAAGATGCTGGTGGCGAAGTGGATCCCACTTATTTCTTCCTCCCACACACATTCTTACTCTCTCTCTCTCTCTCTGTGTGTGTATGTGCATGTATATGTGTTTGTGTGTCCATGTGTGTCCGTGTCGTGATGTCACTGTACCTTTAATTGCGCTTGCTGTTTGTAACTGTATGTGTCTGATGTTGTAGGTAGCAGAGGCTAGGGTCAGTAAGAGTTAGGACATTTTTGTGCATAACCTTTAATCCCTAGGCGATCGGTTCGGGGGACGTCTGGTCCGGCTGGAGTGGGAGTCTTCCTGGTGTTGCAAGGTGACCAAGGGAGAGGATGGGAAAAGATGAAGATTGGACTCTCATGAACTCACGTCGATACCTGAGACGAGGACTAACGGATAGTGTTGTTTCTCACCTTACTGGGACAAGATTGACTAACATAAGAAGAAGTTTGCTGAGTTTTGTGACGGTTCTTGTCTTGAATGCTGCAAGGAACCATCCCTGATAAATTACAATGGGGTTTCTGCTGGAGGAGGTGAAGAGGATAACCAATGGACGAGCATAACAAGAGGAAAGGATATCACCACAATGTATCATCGTTTTATAGGCCATCTGACGACCGCGACACCAATAGAGGAATTGTTCACGATGGAAGATGAGTAAAATGCAACTACTCTGTTGGGGTTATTAGGAGCGAACAATTCGTAAGCTTTAACTTACTTTTGGATTCTTCAATAAATTCTGTAAATATGGGAATATTTACTGATTTATTAATTAATTAAGATATTCTTAGATATACGGGGCACCATTCCCCTTTAACCGGGGAAAAATTGAATCCAAAACTCTTATCAGTCTTTCTTGAAGTTCGTAGAATCCTCGGAGCAGAGACTTCTCTTCGACACAACAAAGCTACTGGAGACGAAAATCTGAATTTTATAACGTTTAATTAACAATTTGTCAAATGAATAAACAGTGGCATAAATGAATAATAACCATGTGATATAATAAAAGGATGTATATTCAAAATAATGTTCAAGGTGTTTGTGTGGTGTGTGTGAGTGTGTGTGTGTGTGTGTGAGATGAATGGGTCTTTGTTTCCCCAGAGTAGGTGGGGGGAGTGAGCTGTGAGTGTGTGTGGGGCTCTTCCCCTCCCCTCGCATTCCACAGGAGACCTGGATGTGTAAAGTTTTCAACTTTCCCGAACACTTAGTGGCTTAGAATCACAGTAAAACTTAACTCAAACACTTCAAAAGTTAACAAACAACAAAAGGTCACTTGTAAATTATTTAATCTAAAAGGAGTCGGCAGCCTGGCCAGAGCTGACGACTAAAGATATTAAAGATGATCAATAAGCAGTTTATTCTTTCAAAATGACCCGACTGACGTGTTTGGGACGAAAGAGGAAAGCACGAAGCTACTTTTTAAGCAATAGATGCGGTTTTATTGCTTATTCTGGACTATAGAGGAAACGGGAGAAGAAAAGGAGAGAGAGAACTGAGTTTCCTGATCACCAGAACAGCAAGGCGTCCCCGCTGTTTGATTTGACGGTTCTCCGTGTTTCTCCGCAGTTTGGCGTCGTCCGTCGGTTTGATGCTTTCTCCGTTGTTTTGGCCCCACGAGTGTTTCTCCAACGGGCTGGACACAAAGAGAACGAAGTTTCTTTTGGGCTGAGTTTGACAACTTACAGCGTCTCTGAGAGCTGGATGGAGCTCCGCTCGTTCCCAGTCAGGTCCTGATGGAGTTGGAGTGTAGTTTCCAGCAGTTCCGTGGGCTCAACTTGGGCACTTAGAGCTTCTGCGTGCTCAAGGGAGTCGGAGCGTTCGACAAGCGTGTCCTTACCGCCAGGTATCCTGGGCAAAAGAACGAGGTTCCTTTGTCTTTGCTGAAGATTTATGGTCTTAGTTCGCGGGAAAAGCTCCACGGCCTCCCGCACATGCGCAGAACGTGTTTCTGGTATTAGGCGGTGACATCATCCCAATGCTTCCGTGTGCAAAGCATCATGGGAAATGAAGTTTCTTGGCGCTGATGTGATTATTTGCTTTTCAGAGCAATTTAAGCACAGTCATTTTGGAGAAAATCACTGTATAGTAATTTCCTCATGAGGTCAGACCCTCAACATTCCCCCTTTTGGTTTCGGGGATCGCGCCCAAAGCTCGATCGTCGGAAACACAGATGGGTTTGTTCCTCATGAACGTAGGTCGACTTGATTGTCGGAAGCACAGGTGGGTTTGTCCCTTAGGACGTTGGTCTCCTTGGACGCCTTTGTCTTTGGTCTTTGTCTTGGATCCTGGCGCCTTTGGTCTTTGATCCTGGTCAGGCACAAAGAGGATAGGAAACGGGATAGTCCCCAACGCGCATAACGAGAAGAAGCCACTCACGCAGGTGGTACGCAATGATGATGTCGTCCATGCGAGAGGTAGAAGTGTAGAAGGAGGGTCGGTGGGCGGTTAACTCCACGAGGGGACACAAAGGCATCTCACCACCGGCCATACAGTTCAGTTTATGGAGCACGCGATGATGTACGAGGTCCATAGTTCGCAAACGCGCATTGACCTATGTGGTCCCAAGATTCCCCCCTTTTTGGTCCAAAGGGTGGATCAGGACAGTCTTTGGGCTAAAACAAGGACCATAAAACTAAGAGGTACTACAATGTGCTGGTGCGTCAGACAGAGTCATTGACAGACTGAGCTGGGCTGGCAAATAACCACTAGTTAATATGTGACCAAGTAAGAAACAAGAATACAGAAAACCCCCCCAAAAAATAAACATATAACATCCAAGAAAATTCATAGCAACCTTGAGGTCTCATAAAATACATTCTTAGGTCATACATTCAGTGTGTAGCTTATAAAGAATGTGACATACTGCAACACTCAGATAAATATGTGAGGTAGACTAAAATGAGAACTACTCTTAGGGTTACAGAATAACAAAGAAAATGTTGCTCACCCCCTTTAGACAGGTGTGGTACATTCAAGCTTGGAGTCTCCCCGAATGCAGTTACGAGGCACACCGTAGGTGAGCAAGTGCATCTTATCTTGGAGTTTCTTAACACGCCTGTAGGCGGAATAAGCTACCACGGCCGTGATGAGCCATCCCATCCCCAGGGCGACCAATGTGCAGATTAAGGTGGTATAATCTGTGTCAATGTAGCGTCTTGGGCGTCAAAGTAAGTTCACGCGGGGTTTGTGTGAACTTAACAAATTTGGTTCCTTCAATCAGTAATTGTTGGTCAATTTCTAAATCGAAGGCAAAGTTATAACCCTGGAAAGCGGCCATGATCTCAATCTCTGAGTCATGCTGTTCGAGGTTGAGATGATGGAGTGCCAGGTTTCTAGTTCAAAGTGGAAATGCCTACTGTCCTTTCAAATACCAATGTCCAGCATCGACTTAAACCTATAGATGTGAGGTGTCACAATTATGGGAACATGTAACAGGAAACCGAGTTCTAATTTTCTGCATCAACGTGAATTGGAATTGCACTACCTAGGCTGTACGCTAGGTGGATTTGTGAAAGGTGCACAGTAGAGGGGTAGCAGCTGTCAAACTAACTTTGAGCAGGTCCAGTGGTACCAAGTACGGGGAAATACGACTTTCAACCAAGCTGTCCAGCGTGGAACTTACTTCCCTGAGCAGGTCCTGCATCAAATCTCTCACCACTCGTGTGTACACAATATCCTGATGTATGGTTTCAGACAAAGTCTTGATTGCACGTAGAGATTCATTAATCAGAGCAGAATGTAGGTTCCAGAGTACCCTGTAAGGTTTTAGTAGGTACTTCCTGTTAGCGCTCTAGGAGGAGGAGGTTCTCTTGGTTAGTGAAAGGGACGGCGGGGGGGCCTTGTTCTTTGTCGGTTAGTACATGTTAGTGGGTTAAACGTGCACTTTCCCCCCTTTCCATTTCCATGCATAGAACTATGTAGAGACTACGTCTACCTCCTGCGGGGAGTCTGGTCTCTGTACCCGCGGGGATGGTTTGACGTAGGGTTTGATTTGGTTTGCATGCACCCATTTGTAGACAGGCTCCTGTCTTGCTTTGGTGATGCGTAACCTGTATGCAACTGGAGAGAGTTTTGCCACGATCTCAAATGGTCCTGACCAGCAGGGCAGGAACTTCTTAGCTTTGCGTGCCGGTTGGGCGAACCGAAAGTAGAATACTTTGTCACCCACCTCGTATTCGCGACTGGTTGTCTTTTGGTTGTAGTAGGCTTTAGCGCCTTCTACGTTGGTCTCCAGTTTCTTCTGAGCGTGCGCGAACGTAGCTCTGAGGTGTGTTTTCAAGTCTGCCACATACTGATGAGCGGTATAGGCAGTGGCAACACTGACATCCTCTGGGTGATACAGGAGGTGCAGTGGTAAAGTCATCAGTCTGCCGGTCATCATCTCAAAGGGCGTAACCCCCGTGGATCGCTGGGGAGTGGACCGTATGGCCATCAGGACCAGAGGGAGCTTGACGTCCCAGTCCTTCCCAGTGGAGCAGACGTACTTTTTGAGCATGGAGACGACCGTGCGGTTCATCCGTTTGACCTGTCCGGATGACTGTGGGTGATAGGGAAGGTGGAATCTCACTTCCACTCCCAGAAGTTCAAACAGGGACGTCATTACACTGGATGTGAAATGAATTCCCCGGTCAGAGTCAATGCAGAGTGGAAGTCCCCATCAACTGAAAACGTGGTTAATCAGCAGTACAGCGGTTGTGACAGCTGTATCGTTTGGCGCTGGAAGGCACTCCACCCACTTTGTGAAACTGCAAGTTACAGTTAGCATATATTTGTTTCCTCTTGCCGATTTGGGAACCGGTCCAACCCAGTCGATCTGCAGGTGGGACCAAGGGAAGGTTATTCCCCTGCGTTGCAGTGGTGCTCTAGCAAGCGGCTGGGAGGGTTGAAACTGGGCACAGATGAGGCAGCCTTGGACATAGCTGTGTACGTCCTTGGAAATCGATGGCCAATATGCTAACTCTGTCAGTGACGCGAGGGTAGCTTTTGCTCCGCGGTGACCTCCAACCGGAGTGTCGTGGGCGTAGGCAAGCATCACTCCTCTGTGGTCGAGTGGAACAACCCAGCACGGCGGGCTGTGATCGTCACGCATGTAAACTAAAAAATCGTTTTGTAGTTTCAGGTGCGCGAGTTGACGATGCAGATTTACCAAATCTCGGCTTGCGCCAGTAGGTGGTGACGGTTGTTCAGGCATCGGGCCCTTTTGGAGAAGCTCGCGGATGAGCTTCAGGTCAGGATCTTGTTCCTGCATGGTGACTAGGTCCGCGTCATGTGGTTGTCTGCCTAGACACACGGGTACCTCAACGGTCCGAGGTTCGTCTGCCTGTTTAGCATGGCAACGAGTAATCGCGCAGACCTCGTGAACGGCCTTGGGTGGAAGCCACTCGTCTTTGAATTCCCAACAGGTTCCCTGGTCAGCACCAAGCTTAGCAAGGCGGTCAGCTTCGTCATTACCATCTTTCTCCGGACCTATGGTCCTGGAGTGACCTTTGACCTTTTTCCAGTAGACCATTATGCCTTTCTCAGTGGTGAGCAGATCACACGCTAGGAATAACTCCGAGTGTTTCACGTCTCTGTTCCTGGCGTTTTTCATGTGGTTCTCCTTCCACATGGGGAAGTGAGAAATGAAGCTGTGTCTAGCGTAGTTTGAATCAGAGCAAAGGACGATTTGAGTGATGTCCAAGGCTGCCGCCTGCTGGAGGGTTATCAACACTGCAGCAATTTCGGCGTACTGACTAGACTTTTGGCCCAACCGGTAGTGATTTGGTTGCTTAGTGTCACAGTCCACCCAAACGACTCCAACCCCAGCACGGAGCTGGCCTTCGTGAAGGTAGGCGCATCCGTCAGTGTAAACTTTCGGAAGCCCTTGGCAAACATTCTCATCAAAGTAGCGATGATTGGATGCGGTCGGGTAGACTGCGGCAGGTGTGTCCAGGGGGCCCATGACGGAGTCAGAGTCACAGTGCTGGCAGCATGCTAGCCCTTGTCCTAGCGCTAGCTTGGTGTTCTGACCATACTTGACCTCAATGTTGTATCCTTGGAGCACCATCATCCACGTCGCAATGCGGCTGTTTGACACTCTTCCTTCGCGCAGACGCTGGCTGTTTAGGAAGGTGACAGGCTGATGACACATTTCAATGATCACTTTCTGTCCACCGATGTAACTACGAAAGTGTTCGACGGCCCAGACTGTAGAGAGGAGAGCTCTCTCGCAGTCTGAGAATTGGAGTTCCACCTTGCTCAGAGGCTTGCTGGCGTATGCCACAACTCTCATGTCCTGATCGTGTTTCTGCTTCAAAGCAGCGCTCAGGCAGTGAGAGGAGAAAGTCGCCTCTATGAAGAACTCTTTATCCTTGTCTGGGTAAGCCAGACAGTGTGCGGACGCCAACTTCTGTTTTAGGAACTGGAAGGAGAGTTCTTGGGGTTTGTCCCACACGAAAGGTGTGTCGTTCCGAAGCAGCTCAGTGAGGGGCCCCGCTGTTTCAGCGTACTCCTCAATGAACTGCCTGGAGTAGTTGCAGACTCCGAGGAAGCTCCTGAGTTCAGTCAGATTAGCTGGGGCTTTGATGTCCTGAATGGCTCTAATGCGTCCCGCTTGGGGCTCGACTCCATTAGGGCCCACCAGCAGTCCAACATACTCCACTTTGGTTCGACACCACTGTCCCTTGAGAATCGCCAATTTAGCTCCGGCGTCAGCGAGCTGTTGCAGCACGTGACGGAGTTCGGCCAGGTGCTCCTCGAAGGTTCGACTCCTCATCAAGATGTCATCGACATATATGAGGTTCCCTCTGGAAGCAGCATCTGACATGGCTTTGTGGAGGAAGATGTTGAACTCGGCAGGTGAGTTAGAGTAGCCAAAGGGGCAGCGGTTCCAAGTATATTGGCGATTTCCAAAGGAGAAAGCCAGTTTATACTGGTCCGCCAGCTCAACCTTCATGGTCCAAAAGCCGTTGGCTACGTCAACCGTAGAGAAGAAACGAGCATCTCTGACTCTGGCTAGCTCCTGATCTAAATGGATCATAGGCCACCTGGAGAGAGGCACTTGTTTGTTCAGTGCACGATAGTCTATGGTGAGACGCCATTTCCCAGTCGGTTTCAGAACCGGCCAGATGGGAGAGTTGTAAGTGGAGTTACACTCTCTGATGATGTTTTTCTCCTTCAGCTGATCGAGGATCTCCTGGATCGACTCATAAGCAGCGAGGGGAATCTTGTACTGACGTACAAAAGTAGGAGGGGCATTCGGGTTCGTCGGAATGCGAACCGTGTGCAGGTTTGTGAGTCCACAGTCCAGGGAGTCCCTGGATAAGATGGACTGAAACTCATAGAACAGGCTCTTAAGCTCTGCTCTCTGCTCCTCTGACTCCAGCGCATCCGCTTTGTCAAGCTGCTGGCTGACTTCGGCCTCGAAGCCGTCATAAGGTTCAGAGGAGGAGGGTCTCTGGTGTTCCGGGCTTTCAACCGGTGACTCAGAGGGTTGAGTATTTATTGCAAAAACCGTTAGACACTGACCGCAGTCAGTATCTAAGGTTGCACTGCAAATGGGTTCCTCAGGAAGGGCTTCATGCCGCTTGATGGTAATCATTTGTGAGGGGAAAGTACTGAATGTGTCTGCACCAACCTGTCTGTCGTTCAAGAACAACGGAAGTTGTCCGATCACGGGGACTGAAAGTTCGAAGTCATGGAATGAGCTATCTATCAGCATGCCCAAGGGCTTTCCTGCCGGCATGTGGATAGGACTCTGGGTCGGATTTTCGACCAACAAGTACGCAGAACGATTGTTCAGCTCCAAGAGTGGCGTGCCACAGACGGCTAAGTTGAGCTCCAAGAAGTGTGGTGATGGCTGGAAGAAGGCCTGTGTGCCTGGCAGCTTCTGATGCTTCATCAGAGTCAGACGAACAGGCACTCCTTTGACCAGTGGGGGCAGAACCGTGCTGGCCTCAACCACTGCACGGCAGGCTTGTGGAATGGTCTGTCCGGACAGCAAGTGTTCAGGGCCTTCTGAGCGAGGCTCAGAGGAAGGTGTGGCCCGGGCCCAAAGGACTTGATTGCAAGTGTCCAGCTGGGCACCGAGTCGAACCAGCAGATCTGCTCCAATGAGTGCAGGTGGATCAAGCTGTGGTATGATGCTGAATGTATGTGTGAGCTGTCTTGCTCCAAGCTGGATAGTCAGGGAGCAGACCTCTGGCGCTTTCAGGAGCCTCTGCGGCCAAGTAGGTGACAAGAGCCGATGGCTACGTGTCACACTGACCAGAAGGGGGTCCTTCTGACGCAGGTGTTCAAACGTCTGCTGGCTGATGGCTGACTTTTCTGACCAAAGAGCAAGGCGAGCATCTGAGATGTGGGTGCAGTTGATGGTGAGACCACCAACTATGTGTGGTGCATATGGCTGCAGGCTGACGTTCTTCAGCGAGCAGAGAAAAGATGAATGTGTGCGGAGCGGAGTTCCAGGAGCGGTTTCGTGCCTGTGCAGGCGGACATCGTCTGTGGGAGCCGTAGGGAGGGGCATGACCTTGGAACAAGGGTTTTGCTGCTCACTTATGCTGACTTCAAGAATGGAGGATGGTCGGCTGCTATCCGGGTTCCAGGGCTTAGGTGTGTCTACCTGGGCCCAAAGTTGACCCTTCTGACAGTCGATGAGGGGAGCTAGACGTTCAAGCAGGTCCTGACCAACGAGAAGTGGTTCAGTGTCTAGCTGGCAGACATAAAACGGATGAACCAGAGTCATGTCTTGGAAGGTGATGTCCAGCCACGCCCGGTGAGTGATACACTCCCGGGTCTGGGTGCAGCTGGTGATTTTCAGGTCACAGGGTTCTACCTGGACTGGTTTCCCGAGCGACCGCATGGTGTCAGACAAGCGATGGAACAGTGTGGAGCACATCAGGGTGATTTCTGAGCCGGTATCCAGCAGAGCATCAACCTGTATGCATCCACCTACGTTGGTGCTACAGTACAAACGGCGAGCATGATCATGGTTTGTTAAGTCACCAAGGAACTTCAGAAATTTAGTATCAGGTTTCTCTGGGGGGTAGATTTCAGGAGACTCCTGTGATCTACCAGTAGTGTTCCCCCAGCTGATCAGGTAGGTCCTGGCCACGCTGGGGGGTTGAGCCACGCCTAGTCATGCGGACGTTGGCTCTGGGTCTGGCTTCTTAGAAGAAGACTTTGGTGCAGGGGTCTCTTCTGCAGATCTCAGCTGTTCCTACTGTTTAGCTAGGAACTGCTGAAACATTTCCTGGAGGTCGGCTTTGGTCAAGAACTCACCTGCGGACTTGCGTTTTGGACCTACCTGTGGGCGGCGCTCCTTAAACCTTCCACTGTTCCGACCTGCCTGCCGTTGGTTTTGGTTGGGCCACTTCCTGTCTGATTGTCCAGACCTAGGTGGCCAATCGGCACCCCCCTTCCCCTGTTGAGGAGATTGGGACTGCTCTCGCGGTTTAGCAGGTCTAGGTTTAGCAGATTTTGGCTTAGTGGGTGGAGCTTCTGTGCCTTCGAGCTCCAAACACGGCTCGGCATCGGGAGCTAGGTGCATGACGCGGTGATGTGCGTCAGGCTTTTGGGGCTTCCCGCCGGCTTCCCAAGCCTGTTGAGCGTATCTCCTAATCTCCTGAGTTGTCAGATTTTTCATCCGACAATACATTGAGACTTCGGATCGAACACACTCGTGCAGGTTGTGAATGAACAGGGATCTGAAGGCAGGGTCTTCCTCGAGCCCAGGACCGTTTCGACCTTGGAAATAAGCACTTTTGAGTCGGCGATAATACTCTCTGGGGGATTCGTTCCTCCCGTGTTTGATGGAGAAGGCCCCCATTGTAGCTGACGCAGAGTCTGCATACGTGGCGTATTCATCCCTCAACGCTCGGCAGAGCGAGGAGTACCGATCTCGAATGTCAGGTGGTAGAGTTTCCATGAAACCGTGCACCGTTCTAGATGTGGTTTTCCAAATTAGCTTGAGCTTTTCCCTTGAAGAGGGTGCTGGAAGATCAAGCAGACAACGTTCTATCTCCCTGAGATAATCGTCGACATTGGATTCATTGGTGTTAGGATCAAAGCGTTCTATGTCTTTAGCTAGCGATTCAATTTGACGTACACGGAGCCCTGACTCACGGTACGGCGCGTCATCTTCTGACTCTGACCCACGGTCTGTCTCAGAGGGCGCTGGATATCGCTGGTGTGCTCTGGGCTCCCAATGTTGACTCCTGGGGCCCAAATCGGGGTTCGGCATGTTGTGGCGGGCTGCTGGCACGTCATGTGGGTGTCTTGGGAGGTCCTCCTCCCGTGGCACGTCTGCGTAGTGCAGCCTGCGTCTTTCAACTGGGGCTTCTGCGTAATACACTCTGTCTGGGTACGGACTGGCGTATGATGCTTTGTCCTGTGGCTGGTTATCAGCATGCCGAATACCGGAGTAGCTAGGATGGGTGGATGGTTGAGGTGCAAGATGGGCTTGTGCATAACCCCAGCCGGCACCTTGCACCCTTCGTGGACTGGGGGAGCGGTCTAAATAGAGGTGCCGCTCGGCTGGTCGGCTTCTCACTGATTGAGAAGGCCGTGAAGATGAGGGTGGTGGTCCAACCTGGGGTTCGAGGGCGAAGTGCCCTCGGCCCCTAGGTGGTCCTGAATGCCCTAGAGTGTGTGTAGGGAACGGGGCCGAAGGTTGGGACAGATAAGCTTCATCTCTCCCCTGCGGCGTGCGTCCGTCCAGAGAGTCATGGTGTTTCCCCCCTTCCCACTGTCTGTTGTCATCAGCAGAAGGGGGCGGGGTCTTCTCCCCATCTTCCCCAGCATCTGTGCGGGTGTCATCTTCCTCGATCAGCCTTCCATTTCGCTGTTTTTCAGCTAGCATCCTCTGGAGGTTCATGATCTTCTGACCACGTTGAAGTCCTCTCTGATAGAGGATCAGGGCTAACTTAGCTAAGTGAACCTGGATTGGTTTTGTACCATCCGGGTTTTCTATTTGATCAATTACAGCTTCTAGCTCGTCGCTACGCTGTTCTTCAGTGAAATCCCTAGAAGGGTAGTCGGGTTCTCGAGCAACCGCGACCAGTTTGGACAAAATTTGTCCAGAAAGTAGGCCAGGTTCACATTCGTGGGCCGTAGCGCCACCTGGTTGCTGGGAGTTGGTCAGTTCACTACTCTGTCCCTCCATTTTAACAACCGAACCAAAAATAGCCTAGTAGAGCTTCTGCAGATAGCTCTAAACTGCACCTTTTGGCAGCAACTGCTAGCTTTGTAGCAGAAAAATGCTAAATTAACCTTTGTGCGCACAGGTTTTAGCTTTTTAAATTGCACGGAATGCCGTGACTGACGCTTAAAATACTATTCCTTTCAGTATTTTTAGCAAAAGCTGGTGCGTTGCCGTAGCAACGTCTTACAACACTTGCAGTGTTAAATATGCTAGTTATTCCTTCAGAATATTAGCAAACAGGGTGTTATCAGTCTTTGAGTGAAGGTTTCAGTTAGTTATAATAGCCACTGTGAGTTAAAGTCGCTAAATTAGCAGTTAATTTTAGCCTAAAAGGGTTAGTCAGAATCGCTTACATACTGCACCTTTAATGAGGAACTGAATTTTAACCTAAAAGGTTAGCCAGAATTAATTACACGTTGCACCTTTAAGGAAAAACTGAATTTTAACGTAAAAGGTCAACCAGAATTAATTTACACGTTGCACCTTTAAAGAAGCACTGAGTTACTGGTGAGAGTTCGATGCAGCTTCCTGCTCAGCGAAATCAGCACCACTCTGTTGCTGGTTCAAGGCTGAACAACTAATTATTCTTAATTCAAGCTCTTTGGATTTATTTGTTTGTTTGTGCCGGATAGAAATCTCTGTGTATCCCAGCCTCACACGGGGCACCAATTAATGTTGGGGTTATTAGGAGCGAACAATTCGTAAGCTTTAACTTACTTTTGGATTCTTCAATAAATTCTGTAAATATGGGAATATTTACTGATTTATTAATTAATTAAGATATTCTTAGATATACGGGGCACCATTCCCCTTTAACCGGGGAAAAACTGAATCCAAAACTCTTATCAGTCTTTCTTGAAGTTCGTAGAATCCTCGGAGCAGAGACTTCTCTTCGACACAACAAAGCTACTGGAGACGAAAATCTGAATTTTATAACGTTTAATTAACAATTTGTCAAATGAATAAACAGTGGCATAAATGAATAATAACCATGTGATATAATAAAAGGATGTATATTCAAAATAATGTTCAAGGTGTTTGTGTGGTGTGTGTGAGTGTGTGTGTGTGTGTGTGTGTGAGATGAATGGGTCTTTGTTTCCCCAGAGTAGGTGGGGGGAGTGAGCTGTGAGTGTGTGTGGGGCTCTTCCCCTCCCCTCGCATTCCACAGGAGACCTGGATGTGTAAAGTTTTCAACTTTCCCGAACACTTAGTGGCTTAGAATCACAGTAAAACTTAACTCAAACACTTCAAAAGTTAACAAACAACAAAAGGTCACTTGTAAATTATTTAATCTAAAAGGAGTCGGCAGCCTGGCCAGAGCTGACGACTAAAGATATTAACGATGATCAATAAGCAGTTTATTCTTTCAAAATGACCCGACTGACGTGTTTGGGACGAAAGAGGAAAGCACGAAGCTACTTTTTAAGCAATAGACGCTGTTTTATTGCTTATTCTGGACTATAGAGGAAACGGGAGAAGAAAAGGAGAGAGAGAACTGAGTTTCCTGATCACCAGAACAGCAAGGCGTCCCCGCTGTTTGATTTGACGGTTCTCCGTGTTTCTCCGCAGTTTGGCGTTGTCCGTCGGTTTGATGCTTTCTCCGTTGTTTTGGCCCCACGAGTGTTTCTCCAACGGGCTGGACACAAAGAGAACGAAGTTTCTTTTGGGCTGAGTTTGACAACTTACAGCATCTCTGAGAGCTGGATGGAGCTCCGCTCGTTCCCAGTCAGGTCCTGATGGAGTTGGAGTGTAGTTTCCAGCAGTTCCGTGGGCTCAACTTGGGCACTTAGAGCTTCCGCGTGCTCAAGGGAGTCGGAGCGTTAGACAAGCGTGTCCTTACCGCCAGGTATCCTGGGCAAAAGAACGAGGTTCCTTTGTCTTTGCTGAAGATTTATGGTCTTAGTTCGCGGGAAAAGCTCCACGGCCTCCCGCACATGCGCAGAACGTGTTTCTGGTATTAGGCGGTGACATCATCCCAATGCTTCCGTGTGCAAAGCATCATGGGAAATGAAGTTTCTTGGCGCTGATGTGATTATTTGCTTTTCAGAGCAATTTAAGCACAGTCATTTTGGAGAAAATCACTGTATAGTAATTTCCTCATGAGGTCAGACCCTCAACAACTCTACACCCTAGACTGGTTTCCATACCTGCATTCACACTATTACAGTCACACCTGCAGATGACAGGACTTTACTAGCATAATAACCATACGATGACTGTGTCACTTAGCTGATGTTTGCTTACTTTTGTTCCAGTTTTACGACTTTGAATTAGTTCCTGAGTAGTACTGGTATTGTTTTAATGGTCCGAGGGGAGGTTACTGCGAATGGGGTCATAGTTTTAAGGTGTACATAAAGCTTTTGCGTGGGTCAGAAGGGCCAGGTAGATCTGAGATTATAAAGAGATAAATCCTAACAAAATATAGCATGTGTGTGTTCCAGGTAAACTACCAATAATGAGCCCAGAACTGACATGTTTCTGGTTAGTGCTTAGAGCATGTTAATGACAACGTTATAGATCATAATGCTACAGATTAATTCCTCGTATGCAGAGGATTCAGAATTACAGATGATAGGAGACTCAACGTGTGAGTTTACCGTATAATCTTAGGTTTCACATCATTTTTGTTCCCGTTTGTGTCAAAATTCTTTAACTTAATGTGATAACGTAACCATGACTGTTACTACTCCGTTTCAGGTGCAACAGATCTTCTGGTGGGTGCTGGATGTCATGTTTTGACTAGTGTTTTCTTATTGTGATGGATTAGCATGTGTTCATTTTTGAGGGTGTGTGGATGTTGCATGAAGGGTTTTGAATGTGGTTTCGAAGGTTGAGGAACAGAATAGGTGATTCTGGTTGAGTTTAGATCGGATTTGCTGAATGATTTTTAATTTGGTTTTAAGGACTTATTTCTGGTCGTTTTACCGAGCGGCCATTTACATTACTCCTGGTTATCAAGACAATCATGTGAGTTTTGCTTTTACCGTTAACCCATAAATGCTTGAGTAAATCATTGCATGCCTTACTACCGAATTAGCCCTTTAATTTAGGATAAGTGGGTAGGTTAGAAAGGGGGTGTGAATGTGGGGATGGATGCTTTGTCCATGGGTCTAAATATTTAGGAAGTTTTTGTGGTAATAGGTTTATAGGCAATTGGCGTGCTAATTCAAGTTTTTCTTGTTGACATGTTGCGTTTTGCTCGCCGTGGGGAGGATGGAGTCGGCACCACCACGCTGCACGCAGATGGACAAAGGGAGGACTGAGCCAAGAACTTATGCCTTTGCTTTGCTGACAAATAAAGGACATTTGTCCACATAAAGCCCTCCTCAAGCAGAAGACCTCCAACGACGACATGGATGCTGAACTTGTATTTTCCGTTCTATTCTTTTGAATGAAATCTTCAACCGGATTTATTACTGTTTCATTATGTCTTCGCTAAAGCTAATTGTTCATTATTCATCATATTTGTCACCAGTTTCTTTTCATGTGCCTTTGTTGTTTTGTGTGTTCTTTCTTTTGACCACTGATGAGGATATTTGTCACCTGATGTCCTCAAGCTAGTCCTCGCATGCCCGCTCTGTGCCGTGGCGTTCGTCCCCTTTTGGGTCGGGGAGGACATGGAGGAATTTTCCCTGTTAAAGTACAGCAGACAGGTTTTTGCCTCCATACTGAGTGCGCATGCAATACATTCGTGAAGTAATGAGTTCAGTTAATGCTAAAATCATGTTTCATGTATTGTTTCACAGTTTTTCATTGTCTCAGCTGTAAACTCATCGGTTGTTTTTCAGTTACTTAATCATTGTTCATTGCATATACAAGTTGAAGTTGCTGTGTTATTCTGGAACATCATCTCGTGCTTTGGTATGGGTACTTTATGCATTTTTGATTCAAGGTCATATGTTATACCTTTTTGTTTCCATTTTTTGTCATTTTGTTACATTATCTTTATTTGCTGCTCATTTCTTCTGTTACTTAGTTAAGCATTCATTTATTGATATACCCTACATTGCTGATTCGTTTACGATGGTAATGTGTGGCGCACAAGTCCGCCAAAGGGAGGACTGTTGTAGCCAAAAAGGTCAAGAGGTCATCTACAACATATATTGAGTTGAATTATGAGTCCTTAGGTTAAAAGCTTGCTGAGAAAGCTGTGTTCTGTGTACGTGAGGATTAACATGTCCAGCTTGTGTAAACCAGCTCCAGTGGACCTTGAGCCCTCAGAATCATGTCGGGATAACAGGGCTGGTCGACCTCTGGGCTGGAGGGTGCGTTGACCATATTGGGAAGTGTAAAACATCACCCCATCCTCTCTAAAAGGACTGTGGGAGTAGCAGTATAAAATAAGCCTGCATCTTTGTGGCAGGAGGGCTTTTGCTAAAGATCCAGCCGGAGGCTCACTCAGTTCCAGGCTGGGCGCTGTCCCCAAGTTACTGGTGATGTATTGATGTATTGATTGTGTAAATAAATGCCCCTCGCTGTGTTTGGACACGCTGTCAGTCTCTTGTGTTTTGATAAGGCAAAAGAACCACAGTGCTTTCTGAGCTGCTATTCTGCCTCAGACTGGATGCGTCATGCGTCTCCATATTAGAGACGGGAAAAAGCGCTGTTCAGCCAAAGTTTCATAATTTCATAAAAAGAACATTTTTCCAAGCTCATCCAGGCGCATCAGTGTGCGTCGGGGTAATTCTTTCAAAACAGCCAGCATCCTTGAGTTTATCCGTCAAAATAAAAGTCTAATATAAATATCTGTAACCTGCCATTTAACTGTTTTGCCTTCTTGTGAAGATTGTTGCAAAGAGAAACAATTAAACTTGATTAACCCCAGAGCCACGCCCACTGCGCTGTACGTCGTGACTGTAAATGAGGGGAAACGATTTAATGGGATCCTTTTCTTTTTAACATGGTTTAATGTAAAGTTTCATTCAGTACAAACTTTAGTTACACCAAACTAACGAGACAAAGCCTGGATTTGTATTCTGAACAGTTTAAACATGTTTAAAACGGAGACATGTGTGACGCGTCTAAAATTCGCACCTGCTCCGCTATTATGGAAATTAAACTAACAAGGTGAATAACATCAAATTATTTTAGGCACAGACAACATCTCCCACACTTTTGAAAATCTTGCAACGCGCCTGGTCGCTCGTGTACGTCAAAGTTATCTTTCATAAGAAGATAATAAATAAAACGATTTATATAAAGATGATCCAGAAGTTGTAGCCCGTCTCTGCCTACAATATTTTGATATTTTTCACCCTGTTGGTGGTTTTACTGAGCAGGTACCACTTTTGTCATACGTTTCTTTTAAAAACATGTTTAGACTGTTCAGAATACAAATCCAGGCTCTCAGAACCAGAGCGCATGTGAGAAGGTTCCTCCCACTGAAGCGAGTGTTTTCCAAACCCTGTCTCTCAGAGAGACTTGTCACTTAGAAAATGTTCCCTGATTATGAAACTTTGGCTGAATAGTGCTTGTTCCTGTCTCCAATGTGGCGACGCATCCAGGAGCCGTCTGAGGAGAATCCCAGAATCTGACATCCTCCAGCTCAGGAAGCGCATATGATTACGCACAAGCGTGACGCGTCAACCCGGTCTCACAGTAAGACCGGGTTGGACCTGTTCAGGCTTACGCAGACAATCTTTACATTTAGAATTAGCATACAGATGTAAAATTAATGCAGTAAAATATAAAGCTTTTTATTTAAATATCCATTCATTATTTTACAAGCACAAAGCATCAGATGGATGGAAGAGCCGCATGCGGCTCCAGAGCCGCCGACCCCTGTGCTAGCCTATATTGTCCCCAGCAATTTTTAAACCCCACTCAAGTGTATGGTTATTGTCCCCAGCAATTCTGAAAACAAACTGACGCCCTTGATGCTAACTGTGAGACCTAGACAAGTGTGAGCGTAAGGCACCCCATGTCTTAAAAGAGCAAGGACAATTCAAATGAAGACAGGGTATGGAATAGCCATGACCAAATGTACCATGTTTCACTTGATAATGTTTGAGTAGTGACACTTTTGATGACTCCTCATGTTTGCAAAGTTTACACTGCCATCTCATCACCTGTGACCTAAAAAAAATTGTGAGAAAATATGTCATGTCATGGCAAAAATAGAATCGATCCTATTTTCGCCGGACGCCGGAGCACCTCCGCAGTAAATGGAAAGAAATCACAACCGTCCAACAGGAAAAGGAGCAAGCACAACTTCCGTTTTTCACAATACATCGATAAACAAAAGGCGTTTTTTGTTTCATATGCACAGGTTTAACAACTTTTAACAACTATCAGTGGCGGCTGAAGTTTAAATGCGCAAAAGTAAGCCATAAATACAGTTTCCACTATCAAAGTAGTCACACTTTGTTGATCCAAACACTGCTGATCTCTCAACACAAATGATAGGTAGATTAAACAGTTCATTTCGATGCTTCTTCCACACAACAGGTGTTTGGATCTAACTTCCGCGTTTATTGCTCGGACTGTATCACAAGATCTCGAAAATCCCGCACATGCCTATTTGCCCACCTCAGGTCTCCGCACCGGAGCGGAGCCGTTGTAGAGCGGGTAGCAGTAAAAATTGAGTTCGGAAGCGAGCGGCTGCGGAAGGCGGGGGCGGACCGGAGCGGAGGTAGTGGAATTTGGGGGTAAGCCTTGGGCTCTCTCCTTGCTAGCAGCTTTCTTCACTGCCTGCTTGTGAGAACAATTAACTTTGTAGCAGTGACTGACTGACACCGGCTCCTCGGGCGGGGGTGGGGGGTTCTGAAGGGACAAAGTTTTACAGGAAAAGTTTTGATCAAAAGTTGGTTTGGACTTCATGTTTGGAGCCACGCCTCAAAAATGGCGCTCCTGTCTTTCCTGCCAAACACAGATGAACCAGCAGATCTTGACGACGGTGGCGGAGCAGAGCAGAGAAATCATGGAGCTGCACTGTCAACTCGGGTAATACAAGCTACGAGTAGCTGCTGCAGCTGAGGACACGGCGATGCAAACCTAATCCGTTACATCACATTAGCTCATTAAAGGTGTGAAACAAGGACAAACATATTTATGATTATTTCTGATTCTCACGGGTCCCTCTGAGTGTTTCATGCAGGCTGAACATGAAAATGGTCTCCTACACCTATCTCCTGCATTAGCTTCTGATGGAAAACAGACGGTGAAACTCTAGGATTAGAAAATCCTGACAGATCTACGTCACACTGAGGAGTTTCCTGCTCTTCCACCCTACTGGTTGAAATTGGAATTAAAAAGGTCGTTAACAACTCTAATAGCGCTAACAATGAGCTAACACTGACATGAGCCATCCATCTGTCCATTTCCGTCCGCTTATCCGGGGTCAGGTCCGCTTATCCGGGGGGGTGGGGGGGGGCTGTTGTTGGTTTAGCGTCCAGGAAACAGGAGGGAACGTCTTGGCTTGTATAAGCTAACCATTAGCATTAGCAACTCCACCACACAGCAGAACTCCTCCAGGCTTGTGTTAATCGTGGAGATAAGACATCAGCGTTGCAGAGCAAACAGAGACCAGTGGTTGAGTCGTGTTGCTGTTAGCCAATCAGAGGAGAGATGTCCACATATCGATAAATACAATCCAAATCCTGTCGTCTGAAGCCATTTTCTTCTCCAGCTGATTTGTTCTTCCTGAAACAGGCATATCAGACTTTTTTCTCCAGAAAATATAACTTACAAGGCATTGCTTCTAGAGTCAGCTGCAAATGTATTGATTAAACGAGTGATCGACCCCTCTAAAGCTGTCTTTTAAAGGCTCGGTTGGTGTTTGAAGCACAGGAGCTTCACTGTAGTCCCTTAATTTAAACAAGTGAAATCCAGTCCTGATCCCTGATGTCTGCTGTCCTTCATGTCTCCACTGAATCACAAGTGTTGGACAAGGGAGGCACATCAAACACTGGTGCCCAACATGCATTCGTGGTGTTATTTTTCATTTTTGCTCCTTAAAATAGACATATTAGTAAAACATTTAACTTAAAATGTTCTGAAGCATGACTCTACCTCAACGGACAGTTGGAGAGACAGAAAAATCTGAATTCTAGAAATCCTATTGTTGCCCTCCTTCTCAACTCAACTCAGCCTTTATTTATAAAGCACCTTAACAGGCATGAGCATGCCACCAAGGTGCTGTACAACAAAAGAACAAAACAATAAAACATATAGCGCCACAGACATAATTAAAATCACAAATAAGAATTACAAAATATAAAACATTAACAATTGCTAACCCACAGAATTAAAAGCCAGATCATAAAAGTAGGTTTTGAGCCTCATTTTAAAAACTGCTACTGATGGAGAGTCCCTAATAGTTAGTATAATAGTTGTGCGTTGCACAGTTTCGGACCCGCAACAGAGAACGCCCTGTCCCCTCTCAACTTCAACCTGGCCTTAGGAGCCACATGTAGCAGCTGGTTCTCAGAGCGGAGTGACCGGGCTGGAACATATGGCTGCAGCAACTCCGTCAAATAGGTTGAAGCCACACTACTCAGCGCCTTAAACACCATTAAAAGAAGTTTAAAACGAATTCAAAAATCAACAGGTAACCAGTGGAGAGCTGCCAAAATGGGTGTCACGTGTTCATGCTTCCTTTTGTTGTCCAGGAATCTTGCTGCAGCATTCTGGACAAGCTGCAGCCGGGTTACAGTACCCTTACTTACACCAAATAAAACGGAATTGCAATAGTCGAGTCGTGAGGTAATAAAAGCATGAACAACAGTTTCGAGGTCACGTCTAGATAAAAACGGCTTTACTTTAGCCAAACGTCTTGAATGATAAAATGAAGAGGATACTACAGTACCCACATTAGCATCCATGCAGAATGCACTGTCCATCTTCACGCCTGCTGAAACACTCAAATAGGAGTTCAGTTCACCGCAGTCTACGTTGGAAAAATCAACATGTCCGCTCGGATCAAACAACAGTGCCTCTGTTTTTCCCCATTGAGACACAGGAAGTTTTCTGCCAACCATATCTTAATTTCTGCCAGACAATCCAAAAATAAATGTATCGTTTGATCACCGGCGCCATCTAGAGGCAAGTACAATTGGCAGTCTTCGGCATAGAGATGGAATCCAATTCCAAACTTTCGTAAAATGTCACCCAATGGGAGAATATTAATTGAAAACAGCAAGGGTCCCAGTATTGAACCCTGCGGTATCCCCCATGGCAGATGTGAGAAGCTCGATGAGAAGCCACCCATCCTCACTGGCAGACGGCAAGCCGATAATACTCGTGCCATATTGCCCCAAATTCTCTGTTGGCATCTGGCATCTGTTGGTTCTTCCACGTGGTGTCCTTGTGTCCATGCTAACATGGCGACCCAACAAATCACAAGCCTGCTTTCAAAACGACGTGGCTATTTTTTTTGCTCGTTTTCTGTTAAATTGTTTCTGTCGGTTGCACGGCCCGGGATGCGGCATTCTTTAACGTTGGCGTTTCCTTTCTGTACGTCTATAGGCAGGCTAACGCTCAACTCCGAACAGCCACCAACCAAGTGGACGAGATGACCACACTGCAGCAATTTCCAAGAGCAGATACGCAGGAGAGTGAGTGAAACGCGTTTCCTCGTTTATTAGCAGCGAGTTTTTAGTGGATAAATGAGTGTTTATTTTGGATCACACACTGATGTTCGGCGTAAATGTACACCATTCCTTTATGGATGTAAAAGCAGAGTTTGGGCATTGCTATGGGAACCATTATGAGTAAAATGATGCACCTGTTTAGATATGTGTCTTTGTAATCAGGAGGAAGATGTTGCAGAGGCTCAGGGCCGAGAGGTCGCAGCCTCCAGATGCCTCCAGCAGCTTCAGACGACGCTGGGACAACTTCAGACCAGGTGAGAACATTTTTAACTCGCCACCATTTTACAAGTAATCACTCCCCCAGGTTGTAACGATAGCCATCTGGCAGAACTTCTTAGATTATTAAAGTGCTGCAATATTGATTTTATAGAAAGTCGTGGAATTTTATATCTTGAGTTGTAAGTGTCACAAGGCCAAGCAGCAATTCTCAGCTTCTCCTCTTTTGCGAGATCTCTCTGCTTTCCTTCATTTTCAGGCTACAAGCTGCATCTCATGAGGCTGAGGTGCTTCGCAGAGAGCAGGCTGTGTGGGAGAGGAAGGTCGGGGAACTCCGGGCACAAGTCAAACAGAGTGTTCAAGCTGCTGAAGAGTCCGTCATGCAGAAGGATCAGGTGACTGCGCGTCTCCAGGCCCTCTGCTTGTTTATCACTAGCTGAGTATTCCCAGCTGCAACGTTCTCACAGCCCGGCACGCTTCCCACTGAAACAGCTTCCTGTCCTGACTTTCCCTGCAGGCCCTGATGAGAGAAAAGCAAAAGACAGAAGAGCTGCTGAAGACCAGCGAAACCATCAAACTCTTAGACCAGGTGGCAACATCCCGGACACGGAGAGAGGTGGATGAGTATTAAAATGGTTTTGGCGTTGTGCGAATGTTGATGAAGTGATGACGACCCAATCACTTAAAGAAGCACCGACTTTCTGCTTTCAACAAGTTTCATTAAAAAAACGTTTAGAGTTGCTTCCTTAAAGGTCTCGTTCCCATGGAAACCGTGTAATACTTGTTCTGTTTGAGCTGCGATCTGACTTCCGCGTGCATACGGTATGTAACTTGTGCGTGTGTGTGTGTGTGCGTGCGTGCGTGCGTGCTCTGTCTTCTCCATCCCCAGTGAGTCGTGGTGGATGGCTGCTTATACTGAGCCAGGATCCTCTGGAGGTTTCTTCCTGTTAAAAGGGAGTTTTCCTCTCCACTTTCGCTGCATGCTTGCTTAGTATGAGGATTGCTGTAAAGACTCTGACACTAGTCAGTGACTTGATGCAATTTGCTGGGTTCCTTATATAGGAATCATTTTTCTGATTGGCTTAAGCCGGGTGTACACTGTGCGACTTTTTCACGCGCAGCGTTCAGCTTCAGCTTAAACTGTACGACTTCCTCGCAGAGCAGATCTCACGAGTCATGTGCTCACACTGTACGACCCAGTTCTCGCATGCGACCTGACTGCCCACACTGTACGTCTGGTAGCAACAACACGTCGGCCCTAAAAATATGCTAAAAATAGCAGTTTTTACTCAACACGTCAGACTTTTTTGTCTTGTTTTGCCTGTTGTCCTTCAGGAGAGCTGCAGGAGGACACACAGCGATTTATGGGGGTTGGATGAGGAAAACGAAATAAAGAAAGTAAATCTGTGTTTTGTGATCAGTTTAATTTGACATGAACACGACAAACACGCTTTCTTGACAATCTTTGTGAGTAAAAAAATGTGTAGAAATAAAAACGAACAGCGTGTGTTATTAGGGAAATAGCGAGCGGTGTTGATGCAGGATTGCGCATGCGCCGTGAGCGGTTCTGATACTTTTTGGGTCGCAGCTGCTCGCAGCGCCGCTTCAACAGTGCAATACCCTCACGAGGGACGAGCGAAATTTTAAACACGCCAGAAGTCTGTGCGACCTCACGACTGCTGATCGGCAGCTGGTCACGTGGTGTTAATCGCCTCTCGTAACCCCCTGTACACTACACGACCGCTCGGCGCAAAACTCGCCCCGATGTTTTGGATTCTCGTACGACTGGAAAATCGGCTCAAAAAAGTGAAAAAGTCGCACAGTGTACGCCCAGCTTTAATGAACTGACCTGTATTGCAATGTTTTTATCTGAAGTGCCTTGAGACGACTCTTGTCATGATTTGGCGCTTTATAAATAAACTTGAATTGAAATGAACTGAAAACACTTTACAACCCTTTATTAACATTACTTAGTACATTTTTAAGCATAAATAAACTATTAACAACTCATTAACCATTTTATGTAATGTATTACTAAGCAACCACCCACCCACTCCCCGGCCCTTTGTCCTAACCTTAACTCATTCACTTCCAATGACAACTAAAGTCGTCATTTGCATGTTTTTACTGTGTGGGCGTCGGAACGAGCCCCCGCACCGTGAGAACGAACATCTCAGCTCTAAAGCTGATCTTCATCCGCATACGTCACATGTTCCATGATCAGGAAGCACAAAACCCATGTGTTAGGAGATCGTTTTGGGCCGCTGCTGACAAAAAAAGTGAGGCACGAACCGGAAGCGCTTCTGCCGATCACAATTCAACAACGGATTCTGAAAGAACGGATAACGCTCGAAATGCGCGGATTCTTCCTGATGTAAGAGGTGAGTCTCCGCTATGTTTTAGTTGTTTTGGCGTCGACATCATCCTAGCACGCAACGTTCTGTGACTCTTAAAGAAATAGTAAAAACGGTGAGAAACGCTATCAGTGAAGGGCTTTAGCAATCAGGAAACGGCTGGCAGTGAATAAGTTAAGAAAACTTAATGGTTAATAATGAGAACGTTGATAAAAGAACAAGTTGTTTATTAATGCTTAATAATGCACTAAGTAGTGTTAATAAAGGGACCCTTTTTGTAAAGTGTTACCACATTTTCTCCAACCACCACCTCCTGGGTCAGCCACAGACGGGAAAATGATCGTGTCGGAAAAAGCCATTCTCTTCGTCACAGGGAAAATTAATATTGATGGGTTTTAACAGTTAAGCAGAACAGTTTGCAATGCAGTGCATTATGGGATACCTTGAGGTCCCAAATTCGCAGAAGGATGCATCAGTGCGTCTTCGAGTACCAGAGCTTTTTTCCCCTCAGAAAACGACTGAGACCATTCCCACTCAAGACCACGGCGGATTTACGAGGGATGAGACCTTTAAACACAGAAATCCTGCCTCCAAAATAAGAGCGCTGTAACCCCATCCACAGACGTGCTGATTGGTTTGCTGCTGTTCTTCATCAAGCTCTTCTTCTTCTTAATCACGTTAATCCGGCGTAGTCTGACTGAAACGCTGACCAACGTCTTACTCGCTCGCTGGCCTTTAAAAGTATTTCATAGAACCAGAGTTGATGAGTTAGACGTTCTGGTAATCGTTGTCCTACATAGTTTTCTTTTTTTATCCCTCAGGTGCTTTTATCAGTCAGTTGGATATTCATTTTAAATATCGCAGCAAAAAGAGACACCTTTTTTCGCTTCTTCATCTCCATTTTTTTTACCTCCTTTTCATTTAAAGGTTCTCAGAAAAAAAGGCAGAAGCGTCAAGTAAAGATTTAAGTTCTCAGACAGCCACAAATGGTAGTCAGACTTTGGAGTTTCTACAGAGCAAAAGCATCTTTAAACTTTTAGGAACTAAGATGTTCAAGTGTTGTTTTATTTCCTCTTTACAAGGACCCGGTTTTAGTCAGAAACAATACATTTAGGTGCAAAGTTAATGTTTTATTATAAATACAGGATTAGAATTTTCTCTGTTTGTTTTTAATCATAAAAAAATAAAAATGAAAATTATTCCAAACGTTTTATATGTTTGGAGAAACTTAAAAGGTGTCCTTGAATTTCAAACCACATTTACCCTGTTGAATGAAGGCAGCTTGGGTGTCTAATGAACCAAAAGCCGTTTCCTGTGCCTGCTTTTTTGGTAAATGGCCTGCTTTTGATATAGTGCCTTCTAGAGTCCTGGAACCCCCAAGGCGCTTTACAACACAATCAGACATTCACACACACATTCACACATTGGTGGTGATGAGCTACACCGTAGCCACAGCTGACGAGCGCAGGCGCCACCAGTCCCTCCAATCACCACCAGCAGGCAAGCTGGGTTAAGTGTTTTGCCCGAGGACACAATGACAGTGACAAACTGAGCGGGACTCGAACCTGCAACCTTCTGATTACGGGGCAGCACTTAACTCCTGTGCCACCATCACCCACGTCACGTTTTACTTAGTAACGTAACAACCACGGAGAAAACGTTTGTTCTGAGAAAAGCTGACTTAGCACGTCATACGCTTAGACACGCCCCCTCAAGTTAGCATGTCCCAACCCACTTCAGCTGAACACTAGCTTGAGCTAATGCTAACACTAGCCCAGAGCTACTGCTATCTCTAGCCTGAGCTACAGGTAACACTATCCTGAGCTACTGCTAATTCTGGCATGAGCAACTGCTAATGCTAGCCCGAGCTACTGCTATTGTAACCACAATAACTTCTGAACCCATTTCCGCCAATCCTTTTATTGTGGCGGGAATGAACCCTGTATAAGTTCCGGGTAAATCAGCTGCATCTTCCCTGTTTACCTGGCTGCTGTTGTCCCTGTGGTTGGCGTACTTGTCAGATATTGACAGATTTTACGCTGCATACTAGCTGACAGCATTCAATAACCCGGCCGATTCATTCATCTTTACACCACCTCACAATCAACTCAACGGTCAGGTTTTTTTCCCCGTGATCAGCCCTGATCAGCGCGGGATGGCGAGCCACCCGATCACCGCTGTATTGCGGTAGGATTTGCGAACCTTTGGACTAAAAACGGTTAACACATGACCTATCCCAGGCCCATGCACCTAAGTTGATCTCATACTGGACTAAACCTCATCCCACCTCCTTTTGGGACTTAATAAGCTGTTTTGCATAATAAGCATTATTTTTGTTTGTGTTGTATGTGGTTATAGTTTTTATACATCTGTCTATATATTTCTCATACCATGCATAATATATATATATTTTTTTCGAGCTCTATTTTGGTTTCCTGTGTTTTATTCACACACTCAGGCTCCATAGTCGAAACTACTTTTGATAGCTCACTGTCTATGAAGTTGCAGTCAGGAGACCTGGTCCTTTAACGTGTTACAAGTGGCGAGCCAGCCAGGAGCCTTTGCGTGTGAATATTTTGTGGTCATACATACAATTTTTCTGTTCTTATTTACTTTGTTTTTGCTGAAAATCAAAAGTGGATTTAGTTGCCCTTTCCGGCATAGATATATCACAGTCTGTGATGATCACCGGTGTGTCCAACACAAAAGCTGATAAAGAAATTCTTGACCACTTGCGTACATATGGTAATCTTAACCGTCATTTTTACGTAAATGATCCCACGAGTACATTCTTTAAAAACCTGATCGCTGAGTTTGTAGATACCACTGCGTTTACAACTTTAGAGCCGTTACTGCCATACACCTACTGTTATAAAACTGTTGCCGACCTTGTGTTCCGCGTCACAGCTTTAACCTGTGAGTACGCCGCCACAGAGGACCGCAGCAGTCCCCCTCCCAACTACCTCAAGGAGCTCAAGCATATTGCTGATCGCAGTGGGCACCGGTTTGAGGATGTCTTGAAGACAGTAATGAGGCAGATTGGTCAACATTTGCATAAAGCAGGAGCAGATGATGATGGAAAAGTGAACATGAATATGATGAGGAAGATGGGAGTAAATGAGGAAAATGAAGTAGAGGAAGAAGAAGAAAGGGAACTGGAGCAGCAGAAATAATTTTCACCTTCTGCCAGACAGGTTTCTACTGACCAGCAGGGGGCACGACCTCGGCAAAGCCAGACTGGACCAGCTCCAAGAGTATCACT